CTCCGGTGTTCAAGCCCATCTCCTGCCTCAACTTCCTGAGTAGCTGGGACTATAGGCAGCTGGGGTTTCACTATGTGAGACAGGCTGGCCTTGATCTCTGATCTTGTGATCTGCCCTCCTCGGCCTCCCAAAGTGCTGGGATTACAGGCATAAGCCACTGTGCCCGGCCTCATATCACACTTTTAAGACTGGGGTTTTGGGAACAAGTACAGATGACTACACTATGGCTCCTGCTTTTGGTTTCTGTCTTTTTCTCTGACTCAGGAATCTTATGTTTTCTGTCAACATCCATGAACATGAGGCAAGCTAACAGGCCCCTTTACAGTTCTTGAAAATATACAGAAAATACAATGAAATTTTTATTAGTCTTGTATCTTGTAACTTTGAGAAACACATCATTTCTGGAAGCTTTTTGGTTGAAGGCAAACCGATCTCTTTCTACACAGACAATTATGTCCATGGACACAGTTTTATTACTGTTTCATATCAGTCATGTTGTCTAAATACAGCTTTCTTTTCTTCAATCTGGATTATTTCTATTTATTTCACTAGATAAAATTTATTACAATGTTGAACAGACTTGAAATAAACATCTTTGTCTTATTCCTGATCTTAGGGGATATGGAAGATATTGTGAAATTTGCCTTGTTAGGTCAATATCTCCGAATCCCTATAAATTTCTTGAGCTTTGTTCTAGACTGTTATTTGGAAACCATTTGATTGCCTCAGGTCTTACTTTGGAGATTTGCTAAGTGGAATTCAAACAGGGATATTTCTAGGATAATTATTCCCCACTACTGAGGCAAGGCCCTTTTCAATCTATCCAATGCCTATGAACAGGTGGTTGGGGGAAGCAGGTACTGTTGGCCCTCTTTGAATGTCAGGCACTGCTCCTTTTATTCACACTGATTGATTCATTTTCTAGATTTGAGTAGTTTCCTTATAGACATGAGCTGACCAATACTCTCTTCAATACATATGGGGTCCATCTGCTAATCTCGGGGCCCTTGCTCTTGTGTAGCTCTCTCCTCTGTGTTACTGTCTCTCCTTTGCACTAAAGTCACCTTGTTCTCCCTGAATTCTCAGCTCTGTCTCCTCAACTCAGAAAGGCTCTGAGCTCTGCCTGGGTTCCTCTACCTTGTGCCACAGCCTGTAAATTATTCAGATGGGAAGCTGTGGCCATTTCAGGGCTCATCTCCCTTTATTTCCTAACTCTCAGGATTCAGTGTCCTCTGTTTCTTGATGTCCAGTGTCTCTGAAAATTATGCTTTTAAATACTTTGCCCATTTTTTATTTGTTTCAGGAGGAAAGATAAATTTGATTCCTATTCTTACATCTTGGGTGGAAGCAGAATCCACCATTTTATTATACGATTACATAATATATTACATTATATTCTGATACACTATATTTAACAGATCAAAAAACTAAGATTATGTTCAGAATATAGAATTGGACACATGTATAAAGGACAGGTTTTTATGTTTTTATAGTTTATGTACTGACAACTCCCACACATATGATGCACATGTACACATATAATTTGGCTAAAGTTCAAAAAATATCTAAATTATACCAAAATATAAATTTTAGTTGTATCTAATGGCTTCTTATTCTTCTTAAGACTTATAAAAGTTCAAATGAATAGATTTTATGCTTACATTTATATTACTAACACAATAGTTATATTTAATAACCAAACACCCATTTATACACATAGTTGAATCTACATCTTCAAATTCTTATGCAAAATGAAAACAAGGTTAATACCCAGTATCTTTAGGAAATACATAGTTAAATGCATTTATATCCAAACATAGACTTTAGTTAAATAGGGGAATAAAAGATAAAGCTACTCAAATATATCATAGTTTTCTAGTACAGATTAGAAGAAGAAAATACATAAAAGATGATCTCTGTAAAGAGAGAGAAGGGGAAAACAAAGAGAAATAATGTAAGGCATAGAGACTAAATAAAAGAGTAAATTAAAGAAGAATAACTTCTAAATCACTAGGAACAATAGTCTAATATGGTCTAATATGGTTTGCAGAGGTTGAAACCAACTTGTACAGGGCTATAATTACAGGCTGGGGCTTGAATCTTATTCTTGGTTTATTCAATCAATCTTTGTCAAGTGTTTACTATATTCCAGGTATTGTTTAAGATGACAAACTATGACAATGGCCTGCTTCTGCACAACCCATGATATAAGAATAGTTTCTACATTTTTAAAAGTTAGAACACAACACAAAACAAAGAAAGGTATATAGTAGCCATGATATGGGTGGCAAAGCCTAAAATATTTGCTATTTTGTCATTATAGAAAAAGTCTGTCAAAGCCCAGTTTAAGATATTGGGGATAAAACAGTGTACAAAAAAATAATACTTTGCCTTTATGGGATTGATATTCTAGTGAGAAAGCAAACAATTAAACTATATAGTTTGTCAGATGGTTTGTCACAAGTTAAGCATTAGCAGGGAAGGGGATCAACTGCTAGCAAAAGGGCAGCAACTGCCTCATGGCCCATACAGCAAACCGGAGTAACAATGTGGGATGAGGAATGATGTAGGTTTCTGGTCTTTTGAGCACCCTCAAGGTGTCAAGGAGAAATCTTTTGATTGTGATTGTTGTGGTGAGTGTAGTGGAGGGGGTCATTTCACATCAGAAACCCAGGGTGCTGGGACCATCACTCCTCTCCTGCCAGTCGTGAGGTAGAGACTAGGGAAGAGTGTGGTCTCACTGGGAACACCTGGAACTTGACTGTTTCTGGATAATCAACGCTTTACTGAGCGGGAGAGCTACAGGTCATTGCTGGGCTTTGAGAGGGTTTATCTGATGGTGGTGGTAAGAGTTAGCTGGAGGAAAAAGCCACCACAGCACGGTCCTCAAAGTGACAAAATTTATAAGAGTAGGCATTTCCTGAGGCTGACAATGTACCGGAAGAGACCACTGACAAGCTCAACATTCTGGAGGTGACATAAGTCTGGGACAAAAGACGAAGTGATTGCTGTTGATAGCACAATAGCATAGGAAACACCATACTGAGTCAAGTCAGTATTCAGTGATATTGCTTTTACTGAAATGTTTACTTCCCCAGAACCTACTATGCACCCAGCACTTTTAGAAACTGAAAATAAAATGACATGTAGAAAAATATAAACAAGTTCCACCTCTCATGCAATTTCCATTTGAATGGTATGGGTAATTTCAATTTTTTACAAATGCTTTGTACAAGTTAGAAGGTACTACTTACATAGAGTGGGCAGGGAGGGAATTGGAGCACAAGCCTTTAATGCTGGCTGTTGAAAGATGAAAAGGAGCTAGCTAGCCATGCCGCAAGAGAGTGAGGAGCGGCAAAGGAAATAAAAGTGAGAAGGCCCTGAGGCAATAAAGAGCTGTCAGAACAGGAATTTACGACTGCTGCAGTTTCTCCGCAGGCAGTTTTGTCAGAAGGCACTACTGGTCCAATGAGGAGACAGGGCCTCCTGGGACAGTCTCCAAGTGGAAGGCTTGTCGGGACTTAACCTGCCCTTCTTTTTGTTGCTACTACTCATGGGACCCAGGAAGGGTGTAGGAGAGGGGAATTCCCCTCCAATATCATGTCGCTAAGATTCACAGCCTTTAGGTGGTGTCCTTGCTTTGTCCATAGTGGTGATGTGCACGCTCACTATTTTTATATGCTTATTATAGACAGCAGGAAGGCAAGAAAATTAGCAGCAATCTTACTAGCAGCAACAATAGCTGGCATTTACTGAGGGCTTGTACATGCCAGGCTCTTCATATGTAGTAATTAATTTAGTCCTCAAAATAATTCTGAGATGGGGAATAATACAAACGCCTTTTTTTCAGATAGGGAGACTGAGGTAAAGAGAATTGAGTAGGTTGTTTAGTTCACAGAGCTAGTGTTTAAAGTTGGCAACATGGCCATAGAATTATCATGTTCTCACAGCTAATGTACTGAACTGCCTCTTTTATTGGGGAACAATCTGTAAAGATAAAGTCCAGGTGTATACTTTCATTTTATATAGGTAGTTTGAGCCTTACTTTAAATATTACAAATGTTTCCCAAATTCCATGTTTTCATTACCCTCATCATTACTATGAATTATTTTAGTTTGATTCTGGGAATAACTGCTTTTTGAGGGATTAAGATCCCCCTTTTCCTTCCTTCAGACTCTAGTCCTGTATAAGCTTATTTTCAGGCCTTTAGGCTTTTGGGTAATATGTTCAATCATGTACTTTTATACTTGAGTTCTCAGCTTCAGCTCAAATACATTCCCTTCACAATCCCTCTGTCCTCCAGCTCACTCTGTCTCTTGTCTCTGTGTTTTTTTCCACCAATTTAAGATCAGTTGTTTTGAATATGAACAAGTTTTGAGGATAAAATAATAGGCAATTGACTAAATTCACTTCACCAGGTAATCTCACGTCTGCATGCCAGACAGTTGGTAGCACCTGTGAGATTTTGGCAGTCAAACACATAACAGACAATACATTTAATGATATTGGTAAGTGGATAATTCTAAATTTTTCTTGCCTTTATTTCTTAGTTTACTAGAATCTGTTTACATAAACTGATTAAATCAAGTAAAATTTCCTCTGAAATTTACATGTGAAAATAGGAGTGTTATACATTTTATTGCCTAAAACCCGCAAGCAACTCCAAATACTCCAAATAAACAAACAAACAAGCAAGCAAACCTTTAGTCAGTGGAGTAATGGCTATTCATGTATTAATTTATTTTTTGGTACTTTTAAGTCAAATCTAAAAGTTCTAAGAGAGAAAATATCTCTTAAATCTGACATGAGACTACCATATGAGAACAAATAAAATAAAAATTGAAAATTATTTTCATTTCAGTTATACTTCTAGTCAACATACTTTATTTCTTTAAACCCATTAGCTATCTAATCTCACCTAATCACTTCTCTGTGCACCACAGGGCCCTATACAAAATGACTAAAATACAACATAGCTAGATATGGAAAACATCATTACCTTTAAAGAACACAAAATTCCCGTCGCTATTTTCATAAACTGCATCGATACTAGGAGGCAAGCCCCTCCAGAAGTAAGTAATTTGCATTGGATATCCATCCATCACCCTGTTGTTTCTCACTCGCCAAAACCACTGGTCCTGCAAAACAAGCAAAGGCATCTCTCAGCAAGCACGTAGGGCTCCCTGGCATTTCACGGTGCAATGGCTGGACGCTTTTGAAATTAAGCTCATTTACTTATTATTGTCTTACATTAAATCAGTCAAAGAAAGAGCTAAACAACTTGACCACAATGATAACAAAAATTTTTGTAGTAAACTGCTTAATGTCTAAGCCATACAGTGTGATTAAAATATAATGTCAACATACTTAATCTTGTCATTTTACATTATCTCCAAGGCTTTCTAGATGGAGGTAGCACTGATAAGTCCCTGCCAAATTTGTGGCTATGTTAGCTTCTTGAATATAAGATCAGTGCTAGGGTCATGCATACTTCCTAGCATTTTCAGATTTATGCAAGATCACCATACCTACAATGCTGAGGATGAAAGAGTTCATACCTGTCTGTATTCCCCTGTTATGCCTATTGTCTCAAATGGTTATGAAGTAGAGCCCTCTTTCATCATTAAATGTATTTTTGGCTGACAAATTTATGTACAAAAAACAAGCAAAATTATTTTGAAAAAAAAATCATCACAGAGGATTCTAGTCTGGGTTAATTGCCTTTTCTATCTGCTGTGGGAATACTCTGTATTTCGCTCAGCCATAGCATAGGTCACTTTATACAAAAACTGTCTAGTCACTCTTATCTCTAGTGAAGAACACATGGCTTGACCCATAGCAGGTTTTTATAACATTGTTAAATTAATAAATGGCCTACACATAATATGTTTTACCATAATGCTTATTAAGGGCAAAAACCCCAATAAAACAAAACCAGTATCTTCCAAACCCCCCAAAAAATACATCTGATGACACTAGCTTTTTTTATTGAAAATTTGAAAATCATTGAAAGACTACTCAGTGTTTTAATATTTTTAAAAGGTGTATTTTTAAAATTGATTTTAATATAATTAAAATTTCACATTATTTTAAATTTCTGTACATACAAGCAATATTTCACTTGGAAGTTAAATATAGCCACTATTTAGACAATTATAAAACACAAAAATACTTCAGTTTCAATTTTCTGCTTTCCTTCTTGCTCTTTTCATACAACTTATATATGAATAAGTAATTTATTGCTTCTCTTCTCATGCTTTGGGCTAACATGCTTTTATTAATAATATGTAAACTGGGAGTTAAAACCATGCCAATCTTCAAATGAAGTATTCTTAAATTATTGTAATGTATATACCAAACCAGACTTTCTAGGATTTATCAATTACTCATATACTCATATATTCATGTGCAGACACACACACACACACACACACACACACACACACACACAATCTACTGAGGATTCTTGGACTTCAGTTAATATGATAACAATGAACTTTCTTTCATGCAAATGAATCCAAATATTAAAATGGTCTTAGGAGCCTTTAACAGTTGTACTTTGTTTTAGTTATCACGCATTGTCTTCTTTACCAACTTCGTTATTTTTTAAAAAGGAGGAAATAGCTTAATTAATGGCTCTAAGTTCATATGCAATTCTTGTTCTGTCTCCTAACAACTATGTCACCTTGGTCAATATACTAGTCACTAGTTAGTACAAACTGATATCTAATTTATAGCTTGATTAACTACTATATTACATACAAAGAAGTTTCTGAGAACATGGCACAGACTAGTACCAAAATTTTTGGTTGTTATTATTGTTAAAATTATATTGAAATGAGTTATCTACTTTCCTGCTCATATTTCTGTTTATAGTTTTGTCTCTTGTTCATTGTTTCCTCTTTGGACATCAGCTATACTATGGCTCCAGCCATGTATCTTATTCCCACCAATTTTTAAAAAATGTTTTTCACCTTTTCTTGATAATTTTCATGGTGCTAGGTGGGGTGGATTAATAATGTTCTAATCCACATGCAGTAGATAAACAGATTTTCAAATGCAATGTCATCTAAAGGTTGAGTCAGAGAAATATACAGGGGCACGAAAATCAAGAATATTCAAATAACTTAAAAGAAAAACAGAATTTTTGTCTAGATATAACAAGGGCTTCTAAGTGAGTGTTAAAACCATGCCAATCTCCAAATAAACTATTCTTAAATTATTATAATGTATATACCAAAATAATTAGTAGAAATGAATAAACACCAAATGGATACTGACAAAGAAATAATTGACCATGACTATACATGGAACAATGAAACAGAAAGCTCTCCAAGCTGAAGAATGGGAGGAAATCTGGTGAAAAAAACCTGGACCGCACTCTGATTTTTCCCACAAAAGCCCTTCCCATTGCTATAATCTCACTACATACGGGGCCGGGCTAGTGGCTCTATGGGACAGACATATGTTGCAGTCTGCAGATAGGAATATAAGCCTAACTTGCCACTAATAAGGGGGAAAATGAAAGTTCTGCCTCAAGATAAGCATGGTTAATTTGCAAAAACTCAGGAGGTCATGTGAATCTGCAGATGAATTCCACTAGCTTTTGTTGACAGCCTTGGCAGAGAATTATATAAATTATAGATATTCAGATTGTGCCTCTATTCAACTTATCCTCAGTTTAGCAGAGAGCAATGGTACAAATAATTTAGAAAGCATTCTGTCACAGTGGATGTAAACTCATGTCATCGTTACTATAGATTGCCATTTCAGAAACAGGGATTGTGAACACTTCATAAAGAAAGGGTACTTAAAATGGTATTTAGGTCTCTGTGAGAATTTTCCTTATAAGTGAGACATTCTCTGACCATCCTGTCTAAAACTGAAGTCCCTCACTGCCCTCACACAGGTCTGCTGGATCTCTTCACCTCCCTTTCCTGTTGTATTTTCCTTCATTACATTTATTGTTGCTTTATACAATACTTGTTTTACTAATTTATCATTAGTTCTCTTTCTACTAAGTATATAAGCTCTCTGATGGTAAGAATGTTTGTCTTTTGTTTACATATGGTTCTGTGTTTCCAGAAAAGGACCTTACACATAATAGGTGGACAATAGATATTTACTTAAAGAAAACAAAATGTAAAGAGAAAAGAGCCAAGTAAAAGTAATGATCCTTTTAGAAGCCAAAACTTTAAAATTAAGTCTCAGTTTTTTTCTGTGTGGTCAAAATGATTTTTTTAAAAATATAAAAGCTATGCATGGGTCACAAGAACATAAAAACTATATTTGAATAGGTAGATGTTTAGCACATATTCCACTTTCTAGAAAAGTATAATATTTAAAGGTCTTTGAACAATAAAGAAAATACATTTGTTTTTAGCCTTCTAAACAATATAAGTTTGGTTTTCATTTTAGGTGGGGAGGGAAAGAAACATAATTAACCCTTAGGGAGCTCTAAAAATGCTATTTGTGTGTTGCCTCAAGCTTCTTATCTCCTCCCTTCCTTCCTCCTTCTCTCTCTAGCTCCCTCCCTTTTTCCCTTTCTTCCCTCCCTCTTTGTTCTCCCTCTCTCTTTCTCTCTCTCTCTCTCTCTCTCTCTCTCTCTCTCTCTCTCTCTCTCATTCTCTCTCTTTGCTACGGCCCTTATAGAAGGAGGTGGAAGGGGAAATAATAATCATAACTAGCCTTGGGAGGCCGAGGAGGATGGATCACAAGGTCAGGAGATCCATACCATCCCGGCCATTATGATGAAACCCTGTCTCTACTAAAAATGCAAAAATTAGCTGAGTGTAGTGTCACACGCCTGTAATCCCAGCTATTTGGGAGGCTGAGGCAGGAGAATCGCTTGAACCAGGGAGGCAGAAGTCGTTGCAGTGAGCCGTGACTGCACCACTGCACTCCAGCCTGACGACAGAGTGGGACTCTGTCTCAAAAAACAAACAAACAAAAAATCATAGCTAGCCTATCTGCAAAGTCAACCTGTGAAAAAAGCAGTACTTAAACATCAAACTGGAATCTTACTTAAACACTAATATTTCCCTTAAGATACAAGCACTTATGGTCTTATATGTAGATTTATTTTCCAAGTAGCATAGAACCCAGACATATCATTTAGTTCACAGACAAAGTTCGCATAGCGTACACCATGGAGCAGTAACATATGGGGAAATATTGTTTATTATTCTTTTACATGATTTTAAATTCTGGCTCATGACAGGCATGTTTGCTGAGAACTATATAGAAAAGGCCTACTGTCTAAATACGAAATGATGATGTTAATGATCTACCATCAATTGAAACTGCTGTTTTCAGGACCCTTTTAAAAAACTAATCAGCTGAGGCAGGCGAATCACTTGATCCCAGGAGGCAGAGGATGCAGTGAGCCAAGATGGTACTACTACACCGAGATGGTGTAGTAGCCTCGGAGACAGAGCGATACGCCATTTCAAAACCAACCAACCAAACAACAAAAACAAAAAAACTAATCAGTAGAACTGATCTTCTTTCACTTCTCTTCTGATACACAGATTCATATATTTAACCAACAACATTACATAAATCTACAAATGTGTCACATGTTCAAACTGAACATTTCTAACAGTCACCAGTTCTTTGGCTCCTCCTCTGACAAGCCACCTCGGTCCTGCTTTGTCTAGTTTTCCTCCTTTCTGAAACAGCATCTCAAATCTCTTTATTTCTCACCATCATCACTGTCACCATCCGAATCCCAGCTGCCACTGTATTTCACTGAGATGACTGCAATGCCAATGCAAAGCCTCTGCTTTGCCTCCTACTGCATCTAGAATGAAATTCAAACTTGGACTCCTGCCTCCAGCTCCTACGCAGCTCCCAGCAGTCTCTCTTGTGCTCACATTGCTCCAGTTACATCAGCTTCCTTTCAGCTGCTTGACAGAGGAAAGCTCTTTTCTTCCTTAAGACACCTTGCAGGCAGTTTGCCCTACAGTAGGCCCTCTGGTTCTATGGTTTCGATTTCCACAGTTTCAGTTACCTGTGGTCAACCCTAATCCAAAAATAGATAAGTCCAGTACAATAAGGTATTTTGAGAGAGAGACCACATACACAAAACTTCTATTATAGTATATTGTTGTAATTGCTCTATTTTGTTAGTTATTGT